ACTCCTTAAAGACTCATTTATGACTCCAAATGTTTGCTGGGTACTCACAAACTCACACACACATTTTCATTTTCAATCTCAAGCAACAACAATTTCGAACAATTTCAATTTTTTATTTTCATTTTTATACGATTTTAAAATGTTGGCAAACTTCAAAAAAAATCATGGCCGGCAAATTGAGAGAACGGTTCTACCTTGCTATATTTTTATCATGGTATGTATTTACATATTTTACAAACGTTTTTTATGCAATACATTAATTCTTTTACTTAAAGGCCCGAATTTCTTTTGTTCAATCTTAAAGATCGGTGGGAACGGTTAACCAATTCTGTAAACAATATTATGTGTAGTTTTAATTTTTACTTCTAACTTGTGTAGCTAAAAGCCCCGCAAACTCGAGCAATCTCGTTTTAATGATGAAATTTTGGTAGTTTGGAAACTGATTTGGTAGGCGTTTTGGCACCTAAAAATATTTTCAAGTGGCAACACTGGATCTAATTGGTTCATGTTAAATGGGTGTTGCTTATAATTGAACAGCCGAAACTTAACGTAACTTAAAGCCACTTCGAAATCTGTTTCATTTCGATTCTCTAAGTTCTACGTTCCGTTAAGCTAAGTCGCCATAATCAGGCTTTAAACCACCGCCAGGTTATTCCTCTTGATCATGATTGTTTTAAACAAATTTTTAAGTTACAACGTCAATGTTTTAATACATACACTTGTTTTTTTTTTACCGGAAGCTAGTGGAAAGGTGAACGCTAAAAGGCTAAAGCTGAAATTAGTCAAGAACGTAAACCTACCGGTACGTAAACCCGAGTCAGCTGACACGATCTGTCTTACCAAAGCGCCATGTAAATGAAAACTCAACACCGCAGAATTTTTCTGTAGTTGTAGCCCGTAGCGCAGAAATCTGCGGAATTTAGATTTTTCCGTGTCAGCTGATTTCTCCTTCTTTAGATGGTTGCCACTTCGTCAGTTTTGTAGATGGTAAAAAAGTTATAAGTTCCTATTCGAAATATGTTTAAAATATTTAAAATTTACTATTATATAAGGTTTTTGTTGAAAACTAAGTAGTTTATATTTAGTTACAATCTATTATAGCACGAAAAATTGTGGTTGAAAGGGTAAGTTTATGAAAAGGCATTGAAGAGTGGCAACAGTGTAGTAAGCAACACTGAGGGCTCCAGTAATCGACAAAATTCTGCGTATACAGACTGCGTTTAAGTATACGTTCTGCGTTCTCGACTAATTTCAGCATAAAAAGTGGCAGCGTAAATTATAGAAATGCATTGCGATTGTATTGCGCAATATTCTGCCTCAATTCCTTGCACTGACAAACAGCTGATCGACTGTAATAAGTTCCCTACAAGAACAGTGACTATCATTTGACAAATCATTTGAGTGGCAAGACTGATAGAGATTTCTGTCACTGGCTGCCTACAAGTTTCTATCAAATTCTAAAGGGCACCCACCATGCAAAACATGAGAAATAGGCGACTCACCGATTTATTGCTGTGGTGACAAATCGGCAACACCACTTCGTTCATGTCAATTTTGAATAAAAAAGTTCTCAAAAATTCGGAAACTTATGAATATGGCGTCAATAGCATTGGCCAAAAGCATCTAAATTATGCCCAAGGACAAGATTGAAAAAATAGGAAGTCTCACAGCAAAAAAATAATTAATTAATTCCGATTGTAAGTTGCAATTTGGTATACAAAAAAATAAATGAAGTATTAAGAAGAATAAAATTATTCCAAATATCGCCTGAAGCGATAACAAAAGGACTCATTCAGGTAATAAGAAAACGACTCACCCAGGCGAGTTGCCTTCGGCGGACGTTTTAGAGCGACCGGTAATAGGAAATCGATTCGATGGCAATATTACCGGCAATAAATTTGTTTCCGAGCCCACCAAACAATTTGTGTTGCCGGTAATAAGAAAACGTGTCGCCC